GTCTTTCACCTTAGCATCCAGAATCCAGTATATGTCTTTTGCAAGGGCAGAGCACTCCCCATGGTGTCATGGAGACTGAACCTATCACTGCTTGAGCAACATCATCCAACAGAATTTTCTGTGATGATGTAAACGTCTTGGTGCTGTCCAGTATGGCAGCCACTAGACATAACGTGGCTATTGAGCACTTCAAATACAGCCAGTTGTATCTAAGAAACTTTTCCATTTTTTTCTAATTTAAATTTGTTGTAAAAAACAAAAACAAAAACAAAAGACACAGGCCCAAAATGGTTTCACTTAGACCAAATTCCAAACCCAAGCCTTAGTATCTATTCTAGTTGCTGTTTCATCCTCTCCCAGAAATGTAGTCTTAATGGATTAAGAAAGAATTTTTCCATTAATCCCAAGGAATCTGTCACATGGGCCCTCTCCCTCCCCAAAAAGAAGATAAGACCCCTTACCTTCCCTACTCTGGCACAGTGGCCAGATCAATGCTTTTGCTAATAGCTTTCTTGCTCACCCCCTTTCTGTAGAAGCCTTCCATTTCATAAATCTCCTGGCATTCCCCTCTATTTGCTTGATCAGATGCTGCCTGATTCATGAATTGTTTATTAAAGGCAATTGGACCTTCAACATTTAACTAGGTTAAATTTTGTTTTCTAACAAACCTAAGTAGCCACATGTAATTAGTGACTATCATGTTGGACAGAACTACTTTAGAACTATTCCACTCAGTTCCCATGTTTAATCTAAGTCTCATGTCTTGTTCATAGTTCATTCAAAAGGCAGTGACACTCATTCGAAACTGAAGAATGCTCTATCCCTGCCAGGCCTGAGGTATCAGGTTACCAGCTCCACCCACTTCTAGAACATTTAATGTGACTTACAGGTACAGAAAAGAGGGTTTGTCAAAATTAATTTCCATCAATAAAGATCATATTAATATTTTAATCATCCATAAAATCACACATGATGGCAGTAGAAGGAAAATCTATTCTTTTGTACTTACACAGTGTGTCTTGTCTTAAAGATAAGGAGAAAGAAATTACCTTACATTTCTTTCTCCTCAGAGGCCTGCCAAGAGCAGGCACTGAGAGCCTTCTCCACTCTATAATTCTAGCAGATCCAGTCCAATCCTAAATTATCCCAGCTCTGGGGACACCATAAAGGACCTATTAACTTTGGTTATAAAAGGATTTTCCATACATACACGTTTCCTACTTCTGAGCGACCTCTTTTGTAAAGAATGGTTTAGCACATAGAAACATAATACACCGCCTCCTGAGATGAAGTCTAGAGAGATACAACCAATTCCAGTCAGGTCATCCTTGCTGCAAAAAATTCTACATCTTACAGGTTTTCAGTAAAGGGAGAGATTTTGTTGCCCTATCTTGGAATGATGTAACCCAGAATTTCCTATATGGTACAATTCAGAATACGGCTCCCCAAGCCCTTGACACTTAGCATATTAGTTTATAGGTCACTGTTCACAGTATTAGTTTATAGATCACTGTTCACACGCCTGCCTCCTAGCTAGACTTTGTCTCCGTGTATTCATCCAATAAGTAGACCCATGTATCTACTCTGAGCCACGCCTACCACTCTGAGTCACCCTGTAGGTGCTGGGATCAGAGCAGAGAACAAAACAGACAACCCCATGTGAACCTTAAGTTCTAGTGGAGGGAAACTGATAATAAATGAGTAAACAAAAAGTCACAATAATTTCAGATGGTGATCAGTGTTACGAAGAAAATACAATAGAATGGTGTGATAGAGTGACTGGAGGTCTCTTTTAGACCCTGCAGTCAGGAGAGGCCTCAGAAGCGGGGAGGTCTGACCTGAGCTCAGAATCTAAAGTTGCCAATTCTGCAAAGGGACAAATAGCCTCGGGTGGCAGCAGATGGTATTCTTAGAGCCTAACATAATGCTTGGCTTTGAACAAATTAATAACAATAACAATAAATTTTAGCTTAAATGTACTGTTCATTAGAATTATCTTGGTTAATCCTCACAACAAGACACAAGTCAGGGAAAGAAAATTAAGAGACGCTAAGTAACTTACCCAGGGGCATGTGGTGGGTATGTGGCAAAACCAAGATTACCCTTAAGCCAGACTTCTGACTCTAGAAACTATGCTTCTGATTAACCAATGAGTCTCACTGAGCTCCAGCATCTGAAGGGCTTCCTAAAAATACAGTTTTTAGCATCAAACCAAACCAACTAATTTAGAATCTGAGAGGTTAAGGATTACAAGCCTGAATTTCTAACAAGGCCTTCAGATGACTTTTATGCACACTAAAGTTTAGAATCACTGTGCTCTGTTCAAAGAATAAAATGAGACAAATCCTCTATTTGTACCACTTTGCCCCACATCTTGCAAATTGCTAGGCCCCTAAACTCTATAAATGCCCATTCTCTTAAACTTTGAGCTCTTAGAGTGGTAATCAGAGCAATTTAACACTTACAAAACAGAAGAAATCTCAGAATCTAAGACCTGCAAGAGGGTTAACCAAAAACACTTTGACAAACCCTTCTCCCACTCACCCTCCACCACAGTTTGGTTTCAACCTAAGCAAGGGGATGACCTGAACGCCAACAACTCCAGGGATGTTAGGACTTGTTTACCACTTCAGGTAAGTTCTGGAGCCAGCCTCAACATTTGGCTCCACTGCTGAGCAAGCCTGAAGTACACTCAGGACGTAAGAGATAAGCCAGACGCCCCACACTCCATTCCAGCAACTTAAAGCAGCTACGGCTTATAGTTCAGGGCCGTTGATCCTCCAAATTTGGAAGCAGGAATCCTCCAAACAGGGACAGCTAGGATCGAGTCCATTATTTCCTGGGAATTAGGTTGGGAAATCTCAGAGCAGAGGAACTGCATCTTGACATCCGTCGCTAAGGTTTAGGGTTGCCTGATAAAATTTCGGATGCCCACTTATGTCCCAAATATTGCACGGGATGTGCTTATTCTTTTTTTTTTTACATTTACTTTTAATAAGTATTTATTTATTTGACAGAGATCACAAGTAGGCAGAGAAGCAGGCAGAGAGAGAGAAGGAAGCAGTCTCCCTGCTGAGCAGAGAGCCCCATGCGGGGCTCGATCCCAGGACCCTAAGATCATGACCTGAGCGGAAGGCGGAGGCTTTAACCCACTGAGCCACCCAGGCGCCCCGAGATGTGCTTATTCTTAAAAAAAATAAAAATAAAGTGAAGTTCAACTTCAACTTTAGGCATCCTGTTTTTTATTTGCAAAACCTGACAATTTACTTGTCAGGCCCTCAGCCCCTTTGTAAGAAACATTCAACCAGTAGTATAGTTTCCACAAGCAACTTAAACATCACATTACAGAAACTCCAGGAGGAGGCTATCAGAGGGGAGGGAGCTCTACGGGGAAGCCCAAACAGTGTTTATGAGCGTGCAGGGGTAGTGGGGTCACTTTTTAACTATGACAGGAGGGCTGAAGAAGGTCCTGTGAGAGACCCAGCTCTCTCAGAACTGCCCGTCTCCCTCACTGTCCCCCCAAACCTGTGAGCAGGATTACCGTCCTATTCCGTGAGCCCCCAGAGCCCCCTCGGTGGGCAGGCGCAACCGTGCTGGACTACCAGCCAGGTTCAGAGCCCGCCTCCGCCCCCCGGCCCTGGCCACGCCCCACTTTGTTATCCGACCCTTTTCTGGGTCAGCTGGTGCTGGCGTCAGGCGGAGGGATGGGCTGGCTCAGCTCGACCCGGCAGGGCTTGTTTACTATGGCTGATGATCTGGAGCAACAGTGAGTTAATCCTGTGTCTTTCTCTTCCTCTCTCTCTCTCTGGGCCATGATCCCGGGACTGTCGGTGACTGAGGAACAGTTGTAGACACCTTCCCGCCTTTCCTTTTTCAGGTCGGCTTCATGGGAGGGCCGGGGGTTGCGTTTGCTTGCTTTGCTTTTGCCCAGAAGAGGAGGCAGCAGAGCTCGGGGAGCGATGGTAGATAAGCTTGCCTACCGCTGAGTGACTCTGACTTGCCATGGTAGTCTTCGCGATCGCTCCTCGCTCCTCTGGTCGCGGTACAGAGGGGTTAGACTTAGTGGTGATGGCCCGGATCCCCCGAGGCAGCTCGTGGGATGCGGGCGCGGGGGTAGCAGTCAGCAGTCCAGTCTGCTCGTCGAGATTCCCCCCAGGACTCTGGTGGGGCCCGGGGGAGGGGCGGGGAAGGGCCTCTCCTAGCCGGGCAGGGAGAGGGCATGGGAAGACGAAAAGGCTCCCGCGCTGGGATTGTCTGGAGTAATGGGCACGCAAGTTTCTTCGGCTCTCCACCGCTGAGACACTTAGCCAACCGCTTGCGATCCTCGTTGATAACGTTTTTAATCATCACAAGATCCTTAACGCCGTGGTTTCAGAATTACAGTTTTTGGGATTTGTTTTCACTGTCTCAAGGGCATCAGGTTTGGGATGCCACCTGTAGGTGGTGTGACTAGCAGTTCGCAGTCTGATAGAAGCAAGGAAAAGTTGTTTCCAGAAGAATGACTCAGCTCCCAGCCAAGCCTAGGTTACACCAGAACAGGGCCTTTCCTGGATCCTGTGTTCCTGCTTCTCAGAGCGGCAGAACTAGCAGCTTGCAGCACTAATTAACTTTATGGCCATAATAGCTTCCTGGGCTTGAAGGAACTGCTTAGAAGAGTTTTGCTTTCTAAAGATGACCTTTCCAAACGGAAATTTATAATGGCTACAATGACTTAGGGAAACACAGCTTAGAGCTGGTAGAGATGCAAGTAGCTCAGCTACTTTTTACAGGTGAAGAAGTCAGTGCCCATGAAAGTTAGAGCAGATTGCCCAAGTCACAGAGGTCCAGAACAGGGTTCTGACCCAACACAGAACCCCTTCTCCCTCACCCACCACCGGGATAAAAGCCCTCTAGAGGGAAGAGACCACTCTGGCTGGGCTAAGTTCATGGCTGAGTGGCTTCTCTGCCTCTTACCTCAATTTCCCACCCTAGCCCTCACCTCCCCGGCAGTACTGGGGAGGTAACAATGCGGCAGGGACTATTTCCAGTGCTTTAGCTGTAACATTTTTGGTGAAGAGAGGAAACTAAAGCTCCTCCCTGAAGAATATCTGCTGAGCAGCCCGTGATACTATTGGCATCGGACATCTCGCCTCAGCACTCCTTTGGGCAGATACAAGGCAAGGTGGGGTCCACATGTCATGGTCTGACTTGTCACAGCCTCTGATATAGGGAGAAAGTTCATCTCTTAAGACTGGCAAAATTCTGCAGTTTTGGTGCCCATGCTTCGAGTCTACGATAAGGAATTCCAGTAGAGTACTACATGGGTTGAGTATCTTCATGGAATTGGATCGATTGCTACTGACAGCTCTCATCTGGCTGAAGTCACAGAGACACCACTCTTAGCCGCAACCTCAGGATTTCTTGCAGTCATTAACGAGTTGAATGGATGTAGGCAGCTTATGACTTTGGGGGAAAAGAACATTTGATGGGAGCTTATCTTATGTTAGGCATCATTCTGTGTGTTTCAGGGGCATAAACTCATTTAATCTTTATAAAGACCCTATGAAGTAGATACTGTTAACCCCCTTTCTCTTAAAGACACAGAGGCTAAGTAATGTGCCCAGAGCCACATTGCTGGTAAGTGGTAGTGTCAGGATTAGAACTCTGGTCTTCTGATTTATTTCACACTTCCTTTCAGAAAACAGAGCGTGAAAGTGTGGTTATATACCATGAAAAGCTGAGCCTGGGGGCCCTGGCTGGCTCAGTAGAGCATGTGACTCTTTTTTTTTTTTTTTTTTTTTAGATTTTATTTATTTGAGAGAAAAAGCATGAGCAGGAGGGAGGGGCAGAGGGAAAGGGAGAAGCAGAGTCCCTGATGAGCAGGAAGCCCAACTGGGATTCAATCCCAGGACCCTGAGATCATGACCTGAGCTCATGGCAGACATTTAGCCAACTAAGCTACTCAGGTACCCAGGCATGTGACTTTTGATCACAGGGTTGTGAGTTTGAGCCCCACGCTGAGTGTAGATATTACCTAAAAATAAGTAAATCAATAAATAAACTTTTAAAATAATTCTCCTTCGAAAAAGAAAAAAAGAAAAAGCTGAGGCTAGAACTTCCAGAGGAATGGTACAGAGAAACCTGGATTTGAGATGTGGGCTCTAGCTCTGCTTCTTTTTCTAACTAGCCACTTAGCCACCTTAGGCCTCAGTTTCCTTATCTGCGAAATAAAGAGGCTGGACCAGATGACTCCTAAGGAGCCATCCTAATCTAAAATCCTGTTCTTCAAATGATGTATCGGGATGTCCAGTGTGTAGCAAGAGGGATCGGTAATGGTTCCTCTCATTCCCCCACAGAACACCCAGCCTGACTATGTTCACAGACCCTTCCCATAGCTGGTGGTATCCATTCTGTAATCCCCTTTATTCAGGCAGAGTTCAAGAAAAGAGAAATATCACATATGATGGACAAAGAATAATAAACTCATTTAGCACCGAATTTGTCCCAGGCACCTTCTGACCTGCCTTACATATCTGACCTGCCTTACATAACTCGAAGACCAGTTACGGTTATTTATCACACCAAAGCCATTCTGCTTGTAAATGACAATAGTGTGATGAAGAACCAGAGGGTCCCCCCCACCAAAAACACCCTGGTGCTTTCAACCTCTGCCCTGAAACCTTAAATTTTCTTGGGATAAAAAAGACAACAGAATGGATTATCATCATTTTACTGTGTGCCATTGGAGGTGAGGATGTATGTGAACTTTGTACACATTTTGTAATCTGGAAAACAAGGCCAGAGGCAACCTGGCAAGGCAGTCCCAACAGAATTTGAACCCAGGTCTCCTGCCTCTGGCTCCCTTCCTGTCCCATCTTGTTGTTTCAGGCTGGACTGATTGACTGCCTGAGAGCCCAGCTGGGTACTGACCCCGCTGTACTTCCAGGGGCTTGGAAGAGGGCACACACAAACCCCAAGGCCCTGCCAGGAGGGCAAGTGGCATGGGAATTTGTCCTACCCTAAAGGAACATACGGTCCTGGGCATGGCAAAAGATAAAGATAACTGAAACATTAGTTAATAGTTGCCTTTTTTCCCCCCCTTGTGATCTTGAACATTATGATAACCAGTAACAAAGGGGAGTTATAAAGCCCAAATGAGATAATACATGTGAAAGAGCTTTGCAAACTGTAAAGTGGGATTCACATGGTGCCCTGAGTATCTGTTGAAACAAAGGGCATGTTGTTAATTGCCATTTGCTGGGGAAAAGTAAGTCTATCAGGCAGCAGGGAATTGCTGACTGCCGTAGAGCTGGTCTCCTAAGCCTGGGGAACACCCTGATAAGTCCTGTAACTGTCAGCAAGGCTGGGAGCATCAATGTTGCCAGTGGGGTATCACTGTGTTTCTTTGTCCCAGGCCTCAGGGCTGGCTGAGCAGCTGGCTGCCTACTTGGCGCCCCACTTCCATGTCTCAGCTGAAGAATGTGGAAGCCAGGATCCTCCAGTGTAAGTAGAAGGGATGGCTGATCCCACTTCCATCAGGAGGCCCAAGGAGGATACAGGATCTCCCCAGAGGCTCCTACACTGAGCCCACTGCTTCCTGACTATCAGCGCTTGGGGTGGAAGGAAAGGATGTCAGTGATCTGAGAGAAGATATTTGCATGGGGGACACCATATTGTACGATACTGTTTCTCAACAGCTCCCGCCCTATCCATCATGCTAATTCCTGACACATCTCACAACTTCACTTCAAACCCAATACCAGCTATGTCCACAAAACACACACACACACACACACACACACACACACACACACACCACTACGCATTCTCCTTCTCTGCTTCTCCTCTGTTCCTTCCTTCTTCCTATTCTCCATCTTCTTCCAAACACATAAGCACTTCTCAGATTTACCACCTTCCTACCTAAGGCCCAGCAGCAGTCCTGTATTCTCTAATATGACCTTGCTTGTGTACCATTCAGTTAGTCCCACCACTTAACCTGGCTGCTACGGTGACTTGGGATTCCCATGGGCCAACTCTCCTGGGCAGTATTATGTTGGGGCAGGGCATCCCATGATTGGTAGCAGCCACAGGCTCAAACAAGACCCTGGGGCCAGGTCTGCCCATATCTCCCTTATGATCCTCCCTGCCCTGGACCCAGTGCCCCAGCCGTGGATACCCTCTCTTCCTATGGGCCTGCGTGAGCACAGATGCAGAACAGCCACAGCTTTCAAGCCTCCTCCCGGGGTCCAGGCAGCTTCCCCCAAGCTGCTCAGTCATGTGACTGTTATCATGCCCTCAGAGCAGCCACTGCCCACTGACTGTCTCTAAGAGGAATAAGCCTATGGCACGTCCATACCCATATCCCCCTCTACCTGCCTCAGCTCCAGTCAGAAGCTATCCCCGCAGACACCCCCAGGGAGGATGCTTCTGTCCCTCTGTTGAGCCCCAAGCACATACAGGTATGAGAGTAATGGATACAGGAGCTCTATGAGGTCAATGGGGTCACTCCCATACTGGCCCTGAAAGGGGCCAGACACACAATCTGGAGGAGTAAGATGGCTCCTCTAATTTCCTAGAGACTAGATAGCCTACAAATCGCACTTGGAGTTGATCTCTTGGGGCATATGGTCAGAGGGTTGTGAAAGGAAGGAGGTGAGGACAGTTGGGACAGGTTTGGCAATGGAGAGAGGAAGCTGAAGGACACATGACAGTGCTGTCAGAAAACAGTCTTCTTGCTCTGCCCTGCGTTCCCCTCTCTCCAGGCCTCCAGAACAAGTTCCTGGCCCGATATGTGTCCCTCCCAAACCAGAACAAGATCTGGACAGTCACCGTGAGCCCGGAGCTGAGGGATCGCACCCCCCTGGTGATGGTACATGGCTTCGGGGGTGGCGTAGGCCTCTGGATCCTCAACATGGATTCACTGAGTGCCCGCCGCACTCTGCACACCTTTGATCTGCTTGGCTTTGGGCGAAGCTCGAGGCCAACGTTCCCCAGGGACCCCGAAGGGGCCGAGGACGAGTTTGTGACATCCATAGAGACGTGGCGGGAGACCATGGGGATCCCCAGTATGATCCTCCTGGGGCATAGTTTGGGAGGATTCCTGGCCACCTCTTACTCTATCAAGTACCCTGAAAGGTAAGGAGTCACCCCTCTTGCTCATGACCTAATTCCCACCGGCAACCTGACAATATTAGTTCCCAATGGTTCTCCTCTTCCTGGGCAAGTTAAGGGCTATGGTTCTTCCAAGCCCATACAACTTGCCTTTTACTTTTTCTTCCTTTAGAGTTAAACACCTCATCCTGGTGGACCCATGGGGCTTTCCTCTTCGACCGACTGACCCCAGTGAGATCCGTGCACCCCCAACCTGGTTCAAGGCTGTGGTGTCTGTCCTAGGGCGTTCCAATCCCCTGGCTGTTCTTCGAGTAGCTGGGCCTTGGGGTGAGTAGCCTGCAGATAAAGAAACTTTCTCCTTACACCAAGGCCGTTCCATTCTAGAAGCCCCAGTCTGTTTAGACTCCCACCGTGCCTTCTTGTCCATGAACACTAGGAATAGGCCTAGCATTGTTATTTAAAGCTCTAAATCTGGACCAGATCTCTTTGTCTACAGTTTCAGAAGGTTCTTTTTTCCTTCATCCACATGCAAAAAGCTTTCCTATGTAGGGGACAGATGGAGTAGAACTAGGCAGAACTGTGCCTTGGCTAGACCCCCAGAGAGAGAGAACAGGGCCATGAAGGGACTCTTCCTCTGCTGAGTTCTTAGAGTTACATGTATGAGTTTATGGCAACCTGTTGGTGACTCACCATGGTACCTGCCCTGCCATCAGATCTAGTCTTTGCAGCTCACCCAGAACCTGCAGGAGCCACAGCTCCCAGCATAACCCAGAGTGCTAGGCAAGCCCCTCTAAACCGTGCCTACTCCAGTTCTGTGGGTGAGGAAAGGGAAGGAAGTTGGGGGGAGCCAGCCAGAGTAAGTAAAATTAGGAGGTCTTGGCCTTCTGACCTCATACTGCCAGCACTCCTCCTTTCCAGGGGTCGGGGGAGGGGTACTTCTTAATCTGATGAAGTAGAAAGCAGATTCCCTCTATAGAAAAGATAGGTGACCTCCTATCCTGTAATGATGGCTTTTGTGTACATAGTGATGTATATGTAATGTAGCCAGTTACTGCAAGTTAATTACCAATGGCTGCATAAGAGTATCTCTCAAGGTCCTTCAAGAGAAACAGAGTAACTCTGGAAAAAGAGGAAAAATGGATTTGAGGAAAAGGTAGGAGTTTGGGAAGAAAGGAAAGTTATTGAGACACACAGGTGCCAAAGAAGAATGATCAGAGAGCTGACCTTCCTAGCACTGCACACTCCAGCCAACCCTCTGTAGTCCTTTTCCAGGGAGCAGCCCTGCTCTAAGCGTTCTCCCCTTTTCTGGACTTGAATCAGGCCCGATTTATGCACGGGCCTCAGAGCCAGGATGGTTGAGCAGCTGGCTGGCAGCCACGGAGGAAGGCCAGGGCCCAGGGGTCCCCAGCTATGCCTCCCTCTCACACCTCAGTCCTCATGCATGGAGAGAAGACCAGGAGAGAGATCAGAAGTTGACCATTAGGCCCAATTACTAGTCCATTGTGGGTACCCTCCTGCTTGTATGTGTGCTAGAAAGGAAGGTGAAGGGAACAGATTGCTCTAAAACCGCTGCCCAAGTCTGAGATGCTGGACTTAAGTTCACGTCTCCACTTGTATTCTATTACAGGCCTGCACTTGAGAGGACTCTGGGCAGGTAGTCGAGCTTCATCTGTCACCTTCAGAAGAGTAAAAGGCCCTAAGGGTCTCAGAGTGCCTGGCTGACTCAGTCGCTAGAGCATGCAACTTTTTTTTTTTTTTTAAGATATTATTTATTCATTTGAGGGGGGGGGAGCACAAGCAGGGGGAGCAGCAGGCAGAGGGAGAACCAGACTCCCCACTGAGCAGGGAGCCTGATGTGGGGCTCTATCCCAGGACCCTGGGATCATGACCTGAGCTGAAGGCAGACGCTTAACCAACTGAACCACCTAGGCGCCCTGAGCATGCAACTCTCGATCTTGGGATTGTGAGTTCAAACCCCACATCAGAGATATAGAGATTACCTTTAAAAAAAAAAAAAAATGCCTAAGGGTCCTAAGGGTCTCAAGGAGAGGCAACATAGCTCAAACTGTTTAAAAAAAAAAAAAAAAAAAAAAGGCATCTCGGCCATGAGCTCTTTTCTTTTTCTTTTCTTTTTTTTTTTTTTTAAGATTTTATTTATTTGAGAAAAAGAGTGTGTGCAGTTTGGGGAAGAGGAGAGCGGGACACAAGCACTCCCACTGAGCACAGAGCCCAACTTGGGCTAGTCCCACAAACCCAAGATCGGGACCCAAGCCAAAATCTAGAGTCAAAAATTAGACATCCAGCTGACCAAGCCATCCAGGCACCGCTCAGCCAGTGCCTCTTACAGGGCTTGAGATCCTCAGAGGAAAAGAACTTGGGACTTGATGGAGCTGAGACTAAGCTGGTTCCATTGGGCTGTCTGCGGTCTTTGGTAACCAGCTGACTGACTCCCTTGCAGTCCTCTGGGGCTCCAGACAGCTCACACAGTCTGTCCGCCACTATAAAGTTAAATGTACAGAGCACACAAACCCGTAGAGAAATAACATTTGGTGTAAGTTGTTCGAACATGCACATGCAGAGGGGCGGTCTTCCCGCACCACCGCCACCCCTGTCCCCCAGACTGGCCACTCCCCTGTTTTTCTCTCCCCTTCCAGGGCCTGGCCTCGTTCAGCGATTCCGGCCGGACTTCAAGCGCAAGTTTGCAGACTTCTTTGAGGATGATACTATATCTGAGTATATCTACCACTGCAATGCTCAGAATCCCAGGTGAGGGGCCTCCCAGGGCCAGCTCAGAGTGGACGGGTGTGGAGATGAAACTCCAGCTGCTGGCCACACTCCAGAGCTGTCCCAGGACCATTCTCTGCGGCATTTCTTCTTGCACAGAGCTCTCATTCAATTAGGGAAACACGGGCGCTTACAGGCTCCATTATTTCCAGAGACCTCCCCAGGGAGAGGCACAAAGGGATGGAGAAGATAATAGATTGCTTAATCATGCTACCCATCTCTAAAGGAAGACTCTTAACTCTTCCCTGGAGATAGGCAGTTAGCCTGGCAGGGAAGAGTCTGGAAAACATTTTAAAAGTTTGGTTTGTTTGTTTTTTTTAATTGAAAAAGTGAAATGAATATGGTATTTTTTTAAAAGTCAGGGAAAAAAAAGTCTTCTCCATTGCAGCCTGAAGTTCCACAAATTCTGTTGCTATTTCCAGTCTGATACTATGTGACACTGCTTCAGAGAACCTCTTTGTAGATCTTCCTTCACACACATACGTGACGATATCTAAAATACCTTCCTACAAATAGAACCGCAGATGGAAAGAGTGTGCATCTTAAAATTTCATTATGTGCACCTTGAAATACTCACTACTGGGATAGGAATTCCTTCCATACCCTTTTGGATATTGGGAGGTGTCCCCAAATCTGGAGAAGTTTCAGTCTTTGACTGTTCACACAGCAGGCCCCACAAGCCCGCTGATCTACAGTCTTGGCAGCTGAGAGGCAGGGAGGTCATCTTCTACCCCAGACAGTGCCCTGTGAGCGGCTGACTCGGGAGGCTGTGTTGGTGGCACTCCTCTTTAAGCCTCACCCAGCCTGCTGGGAGGCGTCTGGGGGAAGTCAAGGTCACTGGAGCAGCAGCCCTACCCCGCCTCATTCCAGGCCTGACCAGGTCACCCGTGGTGAGCCCAAAGCTGTGAAGACAGTGGGGGTTGCATTGCAGCAGGTGCTGTCTGAGCACTAGCTTCAAACCCAGCGGGCTTTGGGGCAGTGTGGGAACTGTGTCCCCAGCATCCCGTAGGAGCTCAGCTAATTGAAGTGTCCCGCTTCAGCAGCGGCATTGAGACTCCGCTCAGCAGTCAAATCAGGTAGCCCCTGCTTCCTGCTCTCGACCCCTGTCTCAGCCCCCACTGGGCTCGGTGCCAGTCTTCCTACCCACTCAAGGCCCAACCCCAGCTCCCTGCTCAGAACTTCCCCAATCCCAGACCTAGTTGTGGGGAATGAATGGCCTTCTGATGTCAGCCTCAGAATGTATAATCGTGCAACTCCTTCGGGTCCTGGGGGAAGCAGAGATGACATCAGCGGTCATCAGGCCTCTCCCCACAATGCCATCACTCAATTTTATAACCGCCCGAGTGTTTCTGAGTTGTAACCCTGGCATGCTCATGGTAACTCTTACCCATTCCTTGGAAAGCATGAAATCCAGCCAGGGAAAAATATTTGGGGTTACCTACTTGGCTTCACCTCATCTTAGGGGCCTTGTGCATATTTTCATTTTCCTCAGTGAATAAATAAAGAGGATATAATTCTCTAATTTGTAGATTAAAAAATTAAGGTGTATTCTGGTTACCTGGCTTGCTAAGAAAACAGGTAGGATTTGAATTCACATCTCTCTGACTCCAAAGTCCGTAATTCTCCACCATGCTGCTATGTCTTATAGAGGAACTCTGTTTTTTATGGTCTGTGCAAAACTTAAGCTCACCTTCATCCCAGGGCACGATACAGGAGGCTGGGAGACAATATCCGAACAGGCTGGGCCTAGAAGGCAGCCATCTCCGGAATCTCCCGTCCCTCCTGCCTTCCACAAAAATTGCAGAACAGCCCAGAAAGTCAGCTTTGTCTCAGCCTTGCAGATCCCTCCTGCTGCTTCTCAGTCAGTGCCACCTAGGGAAGTGGCCAGGAAGCAAAGTAGATTAGATCAGTCCCCCCCCGCCCGGTCTTCTGGAGACCAGTGTTCCATTCCAGAGTCTCGTCAGGAAGCCCTTGGCACTGCTCGTGTTTGCTCCTCACAGTGCCCCTCACATGAGCCCCTCTCCTCTCTCTTCCACCCCCAGCAAGCTAAGCCCCCTTTGTCCATTCACCATCCTTTCATAATTCTTGAGAAATATGAAGTTAAATAACCTATCATTAGCTATTTATTTATTAAAAGATGTATTTATTTGAGACAGAAATAGCATGAGTGGGAAGGGCAGAGGGCGAGGGAAAGAATCTCAAGCAGACTCTGCCCTGGAGCAGGGAGCCCAACACAGGGCTCGACCCCAGGACCCTGAGATCACGACCTGAGCTGAAACCAAGAGTCAGACACCCAACTGACTGAGCTCCCTGGGTGCCCATTTATTTGCTTATTTTTAATAATTAGCTACGTAATGCCTACCTCCCCAAAGCATGAGAGAGTTGTGAGCACCGGCAGGGCTGGCACCACCTCTGTCTGACTCGGATGTCCCCACTCTCCACCCAGGGCACGACATGGGAATATCTGTTGAGTAAATGTGAACCCATTGCATCTTTGGACAGTTGTCAGCGTCCGTTTTCCCAAGTGCGTCCCTAGCTGTCTCCTGTGCTGGGAGGTCTCCGCAGCTTGGGACCCGTCTCCTCGTCCCAGTATTTCCTGAGTCAGATGCAGGGTCCCAGGAGGAGTACACACATGCCGGGGGTCCCGTACCCCCGTTCCCAGCCTCCGAAGAGCCCGCACGCGGACACCGGATGCGGTGGGGTTTACTCTGGGCGCGGCCTCACTGTGTTTTGCTCCTTCAGCGGGGAGACGGCGTTCAAAGCCATGATGGAGTCCTTCGGCTGGGCGCGGCGCCCCATGTTGGAGCGGATTCACTTGATTCGCAAAGATGTGCCCATCACCATGATCTACGGGGCCAACACCTGGATAGATACCAGCACGGGGAAGAAAGTAAAGATGCAGCGGCCGGACTCCTACGTCCGAGACATGGTATGTTTGTTGGCCAGCCAAGGAGCAGGACTGAGGTAGAAGTGTGCGGTGAGTGCCGGCACACAGCAAGGAACTCTGGGTCTAGAAGAGCCTCGGGATGGGGCCGGGGGAGCCAAGAGTCAGGGAGCAAGAGGAGCGGGTGGGTTCCGATTGTGCAGTGGATTTGGAAGGGTTGACTTTGTGATACTATGATTAGGGGGTTCTCCCTTCTGTGGCATCCGGTTCAGCTGAATGACAGGTTCTTGTTCAGTGCTACCACACCTGACCCCCTGGGCCATCCCAAAACCAGTGCCATGAACAGTAGTGCAGGTGGTAGAGGCTGCCTTCATGAAGCCTTCACTTTTTCTTGCCCCTCTCGCCCCTCATTTGCTAAGGAGTGTGCTTAATGAGGCTGGGGGCCACCCACGGCCCTAGTGTACCAGACTCGTGGATGAAATGGGATGGCAGTGGGGCCGCGTTGAAGGAGGTACAGTGAACAGTCAGAGGAGAACCAAAATGGGATGCTGGGACTCGTTGACCCCCACAGGAAAGTGCTGAAATTCTAGGAGAAAGGTGGAATGTTATTTCTGATAAGTGCTCCCAGGTGATGGGCAAGCAGGTCTACAGGAGAAAGAAATGGTGTGCCAGCTGCCCAGTGCTCGGAATAAAGGACCTTCCCACCTGTGTTGGGCTCCTTCTCTCCCCACAGGAGATTGAGGGTGCTTCACACCACGTCTATGCGGACCAGCCACACATCTTCAATTCCGTGGTGGAAGAGATCTGTGACTCAGTTGACTGAGCTGCTGCCCCTGGAGGAAGAGGAGAAAGCCAGAGAGCCGCTCTCGCCTCCCTGTCCGCTTACTCGTCCCTGTGTCCTTTCCTCACCAACTAACATGTGCCAGCCAGGCAGTCTTGGGCTGTCCCCAGGGCAGGACCACAGTGAAAAAGAGCACTCCCGAACCCACACGAAGGGTTGGAGGCTGAAGCCGCACGAGGCCTTGAGCACCCCACCCCGGGGAAGAACATAAAGGGTTGCATAGTGCCACCCATTCTCTCCATGCCAAGTGTTACCCAGATGGTGGTTGTGACAGGATCGCACTGAGCCACATTCCCTCCCCGTGCCAAAGGTGGGGGTGGGGGGGCGGCCTCTTCCCCTGGGTAAGGGAGAGGCTCCTGGCAGCCTTTCCCAGCTCTGGAGTGTTTGTGGGGATAGGTTCCAAGCAAAAGCATCCTCCTCCATCACCCCCAGCCTCCATTCCATGCCAGTTTTGTCCAGAGTCTGGTTGGGAGCTAACTACCAACTAACTACTAACTTCTTAACTACCAAGAGCAGGTCTCAGAGTGCCCTTGACCTGTGAGGTCCCTCCCACGACCTAAGAAGTCCTGTCCAAAGCGCTCATTAACAGATGAGGAACAGGCCAGGGCAGGACATGGCTGGCCCATGGTGATACAGCTCTGCTCCGGGAGAGCTAAGTCTCGAACCCAGGTCTGCTGACACCCAGTACTCACTGCAGACTCCATTTTGCTAAAGTTCAAGGCAGACACCATTGCCATGAGGCTGGTCCTAGTCACTGGCCGAGGGTAAGCCCATCCCTGTCCCACTTTCTAGCCCCATTGTGCAGGCGTGCTGTTGTCCGGCCGTGTGTCTCGGCGTGGCTGCCTAAGGGGGGACACTCAAGTGCTTCCTTCCCTGCCCCCTCATCCTCCCAACTGGGAGGCCTCTTGGCCTCCCTCTGTGCCTTGGGCCCTAAAGCCCCACCTGTAGGATAGAGCAAAGATGGCCCCTGGTGGAGAGATAAGGGAAAGGCCCTTCAACCCCAGGGCTGTGTCTGGATTCCTTGTTCCCACTAGTATCCACGGAGTTTTTCTACCCTGCCCATGGTCTGATGGAGAGCCTCAAGCCAGCAGTTCCCTGTCCTCATCAGCCACAGGATGGTTCTCACTGCCTGGCCCTCTATCCCTGCCATCTGTCCCAGGGTCTTCAGCTCCTCCCACCCCCGACCTACCTGTCACTGTCTCCCAGGGGCTGGTTCCAGGTGCTGCTCTGAGGTTCTGGGCCGTGGGCTGGGCCTGGCCCCAGAACCAGGGCAGCTTCTGTCTGCCCCTTGAGTTTTGTAAAGCCGACCCTTCCACCAGAATAGTATTAACTCCTGGTGCTTTGTACTACTGGTCCAGCTGCCTTGGGCTCCTTTTCTATATTAATAAAGAAATGAGTAAAAACTGGAGGCAGTGATGTTTGAAGCTCTGACAACAGTGATGGGTGGCGCCTGAGTCAGAGAAGGGGGCCAGAGAGCTACCTGCTTCCACACCACCCCCTCCTGTTTTTTTTTTTTTCCAAGATTTTATTTATTTATTTGGCAGATAGCGATCACAAGTAGGCAGAGAGGGAGACGGGGTGGGGGTGGGAGGAAGCAGGCTCCCCACCGAGCAGAGAGCCTGATGCAGGGCTCAATCCCAGGACCCTGAGATCATGACCTGAGCCGAAGGCAGAGGCTTAACAACTGAGCCACCCAAGCGCCCCTGGAAGTTCCATTTTCTGCTTACTCCAGCACCACTTCTCTTTGGGAACCTGCATAACATGCTGACCCGATTTTCTTGAACCCAACACAACGCAGACACATTCCTCAGGACCACACGAAGAGTCTGAGAAAGGGCCCCCACAGTACCCTGTTTACATTCCCAGGCCCACACACACGTATGCGCGCACACACACACACACACACACCACACACATTCCATCTGACTGGGTCATTCCTAATGTTCTCAGGGCTGGGACTAAGAAATCACTATGACTATCCCACTTGTCTACACCTTTCCTGGGGGGGTTCTAAGGATTTGGGGTACCGTTTACTCTATAACTTGGGTTGCTGAAAGGCCTAGCAGTCTGCAAGGAGAGATTCCACAAACAGACATAGAGGACTGAGAAACCCAAGACTGGGGAGGTCCTGCCCTATTCAGTGGCTAGCAGGGAATGTGCTAAATTTAACTTCCTTCTTGGGACAGACAACAAAATATGCGTGCTAAAAATGCAGTCTGGTTTCATTGCCAAAAACATGGTGAAATCTTGGTGAATACATCCATCTGCTCTATCACACGGTCAACTCGTGAGTGCAGGTGCATGCAGTTCAGGACCAGAAAGAAAGAAACCCCACCGGCTGATAGCAAGCACAGGTTGCCATGAGCAGGAGAAACGTCACTCCTCTCATCATGTGACCTTCCAATTTGTACAGGGTCCTCCTGGATAGGGTCTGGAAAGTCCTTTTTCTCCTTATCCCTCCCTTCTCTGCCTTCCCCCCAAAGTCTTCATCTATCTTGCAGAAGCAAGCCAGACATGAGATTTTTGAGGGTCAGAACTGAAGCCCAACCGGATGAAATAGCTCAAAACAAACCATCTTTTCTCTTGTGAATGTCGACTGTTCTTCACAGCATAAATTCAGCATTATTATGCTAGAAAAGTCTTTGTCTTTATCCTACTAAATATCACTCTTCAGGACAGTTGAGAAGAAAAGACAATCCCATCCTGACATTTCCACGGGAATAATGCATCCTTTGGTAGAGTACCCAGGAGGATTGAGTTTCATTGATGCCAACAGAGGCACACAGCCCTCCCTCCAATCCAGGAGGACGAGACCCCATTCTCTTAGTTGGTAACTCTGTAAGATGATAGGAGGCCAGCCCTGGCCTTGTGAATGATTAAGTTCCTTCCCCAAGTGTACTCTGAGGCCTGAGATAGAGCTTGTTGTAATTTGGCAACCTCATATTTTAATTGAGCCACCTGAGAACAAATTACACAAGCAAAAGAAACCCGGGACATGCTAGTTACTACAGAGGACTCTGAAGGACTTGTGGTTGTGGTGATATTTTCAACTACCCAATTTGAAGAGTGACTGGAAAAGAAAGAGCATGAGGCTGGACAACCTGACAACTAAGGCTAATGTCACAGACCAGGATTGGGGGGACTGCTTGTGGCCTGTGACAGAAGATTCATGGGCCTCTGATAAATGACAAGGGAACTAACACAAAGCCTGGGCATCATAGACCTCCTAAAATTTTGGAGGAAAAGGAAAAGCGTCCAAAGAGAACTGCAAAACCATATATTCTAGCTGTGGTTTCCCACATGGGTCTGTGGACTGGAGCTGGTCCATGACAAAGGATTTCAGGTCTACAGTGAAATAACACTTTTTTTCAATATTACTAAATTTTGAAATTAAGTCCTTTCTAGCCTTTTCAGGATGAAATTATTGTTCTTCTATGAAAAGATGATGATATTCTAAGATTGCGTGGGGGTGGGAGGAACTGTCATTTCTTGTTGCCAAACACATTAATTTGGGGGATTTTTCTCCCCGAATTTTTAATTAATTTTATTAAGATCCTAAAGTCTGGGAAGTGCTATATTATAGAAGACCAGAATCGGGGGCGCCTGGGTGGCTCAGTGGGTTAAAGCCTCTGCCTTCAGCTCAGGTCATGATCTCAGGGTCCTGGGATCCAGCCCCGCATCGGGCTCTCTGCTCAGTGGGGAGCCTGCTTCCCTTCCTCTCTCTGCCTACTTGTGATCTCTGCCTGTCAAATAAATAAATAAAATCTTAAAAAAAAAAAACAAAGAAGAAGAAGAAGACCAGAATGGGAATTTGAATTTTATCACAAGAAAATAAATAGATTATAAGGAGCTTATGACTGGTGGATGACCCAGGAAAGATAACAGGGCTCAGAGGAAGTAGATCTAATTACAGTTTTCAACAGTAGTGTATATGTCAAAAAGGAAATCACAAACCTTCCAAAAAGAAGCATTTGGCTGCGGATAAAAGAAGAAGCAAACAGGAAATAAAACCTGGTAGGAGTACAGAATAGATGTTAAAATAAACAGAGGACATGAGCAATGCTTTTTTAATTCAGATGGTAAATGTGATCTAAGGCAGGATACAGCTGTGCCAGAGGTCACAAGCATCAGGACATCAGCTCTTTTTGCTAGAAGCAGAGCACCTAGTACATTTTTGCCCTGCTAACAATTTCACTTGCTAGGATGTTGAAGATGGCCAGATGCAATTTTTACGGATTTTGAGAAGTTGGATCTTAAAATGTTCCAAGGAAAATTACCTAAGGGGCCCAAAAGGGACAGCAAGTTCTCAAATGTGAAGTTCTAGTAGTTTTCTCCCAAAGGATCCTGCTGAGGAAGGAAGGAGGGCTTCACCAATCAGGAAGCAGCTGCACACTCTGTCTTCTGATGTGATCAAACTGTGGGCAGAGATGAAGGTCACATCTCCTACATTAAAAAATGAACCAAACAAGCAAAGCAAGGACAGTTTGTATGAAAACATTCAACTAAAATGAAGGTTTTAGTGGACTGGGCGCTCCGTTTGAAGCAGTAAAGAATAAAGCTGCCAAGAACCCTAACATAATGGGAGGTAAATGAGACCTGCATTCATGGGGGAGACTCAATTAAAAAAACTCATTACTCCCTGATCTGAGTGGAGATTCAATTCCGAGAACATTTTGCCTTTTTTATGAGAACAAAACATTTTCATTGTTAAAAAAAAAAAAAAAAACTTTTAAAAAAAACCATCCAATGCTTGCTTTGGCAACACACATACCAAAATTGGAACAATACAGAGAAGATTAGTATGGCCCCTGGACAAGGATGATAATGCAAATTTGTGAAGCAATCCATATTTTAAAAAGAATTAATTAATTAAAAGCCATCCATAATTATACTATGCAGAAATAACCACATTAAACATTTTGGAATATATATATTATACACACACACACACACACACACACACACACATACATATATGCCCCTAAATGTTTTATCCTTGTGTATAGGATAAAAAATATGAATAAGCAGGGGCACCTGGGTGGCTCAGTGGGTTAAGCCTCTTGCCTTCAGCTCAGGTCATGATCCCAGGGTTCTGCGATCAAGCCCCGCATCAGGCTCTCTGCTCAGCGGGGAACCTGCTTCCTCCTCTCTCTCTGCCTGCTTCTCTGCCTACTTGTGATCTCTGTCTGTCAAATAAATAAATAAAATCTTTAAAAAATATATGAATAAGCAGTTCACAAAAGATATACAGATAGCCAATGAACATATGAAAAGATTTCAACATCTCTAGTAATACAGTAAATACAAAATAATAATGAGATACTATTTTTTACATGAATATTGTCAGAAGAATTTTAAGACTGACAGTATCTGGCAGCTGAGTGGCTCAGTCAGTTAAGCTTCTGCTTTTGGCTCAGGTCATGATCTATGGGTCCTGGAATCAAGCCCTGCCGTGGGCTCCTTGCTGTGCAGGGTGTCTGATTCTACCCCTGCCCCCCGCCCTGCTTGTGCTTGCTCTCTCTCACACTCTCTCTCCCTCTCAAATAAATAAATTAAATCTTTTTAAAATAATAAATAACTAAATAGATAAGATAAAATGGCATACACCTTGAGCCATGAGTCCTAATAGTTGGAATTTATGCCAATAAATGTTAGCACCATTTAACAATCTCAGTGTCCACTGGCTATAAAAGTGACATATAAAATTACATTATATGGTTTTATAGGTACTGACATGGAAAGACATTTTATTTTTTTTTTTAAAGATTTTATTTATTTATTTGTTAGAGAGAGCGAGAGCGAGCACAGGCAGACAGAGTGGCAGGCAGAGTCAGAGGGAGAAGCAGGCTCCCCACCGAGCAAGGAGCCCGATGCGGGACTCGATCCCAGGACGCTGGGATCATGACCTGAGCCGAAGGCAGCTGCTTAACCAACTGAGCCACCCAGGCGTCCCTGGAAAGACATTTTAAAACATCAAGTAGTAAATAATTCATGTAACCCCATTCCATTTTTGTAAAATAAAAGCTACTAGTGTGTGGATAAATAGATGTATGTCCTATAAGCATAAAATATATTTAACAATTTTTGCTGTTACAGAGTGGATGGAATTGGCTGGTGAGATTCCCATGTTTTACTTACACACTTCCGTCCAGGCTAAAATTTGGCAATGAGTGTGTGTTTTTACAATTAAAGACAAAAAAAGCTCTCCAGTCAAAGGTGATCCTAATTTTGATTTACATTCATGATGTCGGTTTCAGGGGTGAGCTCCCTCAGGCAGGAAGCAGGTCTGCTTGCCTGGCTTTATACATGGTCTAGCACAAATACATACCTGGAGTTGACAAAGCATTATGGAAGCAAAGAGCACTGTGGGACTGGGCTCCCAGGGCCAGCTGTATTAAGACAAATG